CCTTCAGAAAAATGTACAAATAAAATACATTTTTCATAAAAAAAATCGAGCAATCTGGATATCTTATGAGGCAGAATGCAACCTGTGAGGCAGACGAGATAGCACGCCAAAGCTTTAATAAATGATCCAGTGAATAAAGAGTGAGAAACCTGGAAGTGTCTGAGAGATAAAGGCCATCAAGGAGGAGAGGAAGTGCCACAACAAGCTTATTAGCAGGCGTATCAGCCAGGAAGATAACAGCAGACAGCACTCACTGGAAGGCTGCAGTGTACTCACAGTGACAGAGCAAATAATGAGCCAATCACAGCAGATTTCAGATATACATGATGAGGTGGAGAGATGAGTATGTGCGGTATGAGAAGAGACGGCTTTATTGGACAAGAAGCTTCCCCAGAGGCTTCATGTTTTGTAAAACAGAGTGAAGGAGGTTTAGGTGGTGCATTTTTAAAAAGCTGTCCTTATCAATCATTTTGGTATTAATAGATCAAGTGCCTTCGGGTGAATCAAACCCACAAAGAAGTACCAGGATGGAGTTTGTTGTATCATCCTGACCAGATACTGTCTGAGAAAATTAACATGGTGAACGATGCGCCTGACTTGTGTATTTCCTAAATGTATAAGCGTTAATGGAAGGGTTGGTCATTTTACCCAGAATACATGATTTGTTATATTCATTTAAATGATCTTTACAACTGGCAGCAGTCAATAAATGTGCTCTGAAAAAATGACTTTCAGTTTGATAATGTGAAGTGTTTCATACCGCTGAATGAGACATGAAGTAATGTAGTTAGTTGAAATCGGTGCTGAGGTCCTCACTTCGCTCTCTTAGGGAGCAGATCCAGCAGCGGTGCTCATTCATTTTGCTATAGCTTTCCAGAATGACCATGCCTTTAGAGTTGACCTACCATGTTGATTACCATTTTAACACTCACATATACAACGCTGGATGCCCATACTGAACGTGGGTAAAGTTTCAGATCATGAGGTAAACATATGTTGGAGTAATCCCAGGATGAGTCTACAAAAGGGCGCTTAACAGCTTGTTCTGCAAATCACACGATACTTACCTGATATGAAACGATGAATTTCCTGAGACGGCTTCAAGCCTCCACGTAGGCCGGTGAAACCTCTTTACATAGACTCTCTTTTCCCAGTCCTGGAGAGCAGCCCTCCCCTGGCAGCCCTGCAGCGTTCTGCCCTCCCAAAGCTTCCAGAGAGCTGGCCATTCAGAAGGAAGTGGGCACATGGGCAAGGGGCCTTAAAGAGACAGCAGCTGCAAATCATGCAAAGCTTCTCTACACAGTATCTCACAGACTGACCACATGAAGGGTGAAAACTGTTCAAATGTAGGATCTTTAAGTCTGCACAGGTCGGTCTGGTTCTTTTACTGTTTTTTCTTTTGACCTTTACCGGGCCGGTTTCTCGTTATATGCATAACCCGAGTGGAATTAAGAAGATCAGTGATCAAGACAGATGTGCATGAGCTCCATGTTGAACTTGTGCAATGATACGGCTAACTTCAGATCGAATACAAAAGTTAAAAAAACAGATGGAGAACGAGCTGCAACCTCTAGTGATGAAGCTTCTGCAGAAGTGCTAAAAAGTGCAGTTCTTAGAGTTTGTCTGAGGCTGGCTGCAAAAACCAAAGAATCTTTATCAGGTTCCAGATAAAATGTTCATTTATACAGTAAAAATAAACAACCAATTAGTCTCTATCTGTATTAAATATAAAAAGCAGTTGCCATAATTACAAAGCGAGAGTAGAGGGTTCCAACTATCTTTGAGCTTGAGTCAGAATTTGTCATTATAAACATTTAAATAATGAGCTACAACAAAATGACCTTAATGTTTTTTTTTTCCAACTAAAGCTGCTTTTAAAAATGTGTCCGAGGTTTTATTTTTATAGTATACTTATCATGATCTCTGACAGATCTCTTAAAGTAAAGGGTTCAAGTCCCTGTAGAAAATGTAAGGAGTTAAAGACTCGATGTAAAGTTGTTTGGAAAAACAACCTACAGAGTTTGAGGCCTGAGACAAACAAACAAGTTCAAATGATACGTTTCCTTACAAAAGGCATTTCTAATATTGTGTGTGTTAGAAAGCAACATTCAGAGAAAAGGACTAAGGCCTCAACAGGTGTTCACGGTTTAGAGGTGATAAAATATTCAACTTAAAGGTTGTTGGGCTCATCATTTCATATATTTAGGATTTAAATATCTTACTTTTGCTTGATGATGTTTTTAATGTTCTGTTTTTTTAACTGTGGAAATCACTTTGAGTGTCTTTTTGTTTGAACAGAACTCTATAAATGAAATAACCTTGTCTTAACAAAAATGACACACACACACAAACACACACACAAACACACACACAGCTTTTTTTCTAAATGCTTCTTTAACTATTGACTGTTTGACCGCCTTAGTGTTCTCAGTTTGAATAAATGTGTAGTGTTTCCATTTTCATGCTGGTGATGTCATTTGGAGCCACACTGGTCTGTTCTGGTCTGTTCTATTCTTGTCTGGGCTGGTCTGGTCTGGTCTGGTCTGGTCTGGTCTGTTCTGGTCTGTTCTGGTCTGTTCTATTCTTGTCTGGTCTGGTCTGGTCTGGTCTGGTCTGGTCTGTTCTGGTCTGTTCTGGTCTGGCCTCAGTCTGTGCAATAATGATAAGCTGAGCTTTGATATCAACATCCCTTTGATGCCCATTGAACCTCTTACAGCCAGACTGAGTTACCTGCTGGTTCATAACCACTGAAGGCTTGTTAGGAAACTACAAACACATGAAAACCCAGGAGACAATCTCTGAGGAGAAAACAAACAAACAAAATCAACAAAAAATACAGACTACCACATGATAGAACCTAATAAAAACATGACTATGAAGCCATTTTCAAACACAGTTTCTGTCTGATTGTTTATATCAACCAGCGTCCAGTTTGATTTTCTGTTGCTAAGATATTTAAATGTTTGGACATGGTGGACATGCTGAATGTCTACAAGAATCTCTGCTCTGATGTTAACAACATGAAAGATAAGCTCCAGCTTAAGTTTAAAGAAATATGTTTTGAAAAGGTTTTCCCTAATTGAAAACTAAGAACATACAGTATATGTGCAGATCAAACTCAATGTCGTTCATCTCAAAGATCCTCAGTATCACACTTAATATCTGTTATTCTTCTTCTGACCGTCGAGGTCGGTCAGATCAGAAATATTCCAGGAGAAAACAAACTTTGTGACATGTGGAAACTGAGTCCCATTTCCTTTTACACTGTGTACAAAATATGATGACCTGAGAGAGTTATTGTTTCATGAAATGAGTCGTCAAAAACCTGAAATAAGGTGGAGGCCAGATGAGCAGAGATTGAAGTGGCTGTTTGAGTTTGATGTGTTCAATCTAATTTTGTCTCAAAAGCCTGGAAGAGAGGGACTTTACTTTTCCTTTTCATCTTCTGCTCCATGACAATGAATCCCCTAAGAGTAGCCCAGGCTTTTATTGACTTCAGTCCATAAAATCACCCTGCCTTTATTCAGGACTGACGTCAATAAGAGACGGGCCTTTCATGATTCTCAAACAAAACTTGTGCACAGCAAAGACGGAAAAGAATATAAAATTGTAACACACCAGAAATAATATTCAGATGTGCACAAAATGAAGATATCAATAAAAATAATAATTTATAAATCACAGATTTTCTCTGACTTTGTAAGACAGTCCATCCATATACCGACCTGCTGCACGTGGGGAGCGAGGCAGACACCCTTGTTATATTTTTGATCCACAAACTAATCAACACTAAATGCATCACGGCCTCTAAATGAGACGGGCCTTTATTTGTCACAACATGCAGCAACACCAGGCCAGTGAAACCTCATATTGGAATGAGCTTTTATTTGAAGTTTTACAGTAAACCAACAATGCACTCTGATCCTGGAACGTTCAAATTCATGGGGTTATAAATGTTTGTATGTCACAATATAATACGATAAGACGTCGAATTTCACATAATGCTAAAAAATAAAATAGTTCTTGGATAAGAATTTGTGTAATAAAAAAATTCCAGTTTGAAGCTCATTGTTTTACGAGTCTGTAACTGAGAGGGGGATCAAAAAGTCGCTGAGCTGGGGGCGACTGTGGGCTAGTGGATAGCGGTTAGTGGGCGTGTACATAGGCTGTGGTACTCCAAGCAGGGGGCCAGGGTTCGAATCTGACCTGTAGCTCCTTTGCCGCATGTCGTTCCCCACTCTCTCTTTCTCCCTGATTTCTGACTCTATCCACTGTCCTACCTCTAAATAAAGGCCAACAAATTAACGTAAAAAAGAAAGTCACTGAGCACCCTAAAGAGCATTTCTAGATGAGTTAAAAATGATTCAAAGTGACTTTGATTCAATTACACCACAGCGGGGGAAGTTTTAAATGTTTATTTATAATTTATTGTTTAATGTTTTGTTTGTTTTAGTTGTTTAATTCTTATCTGCTGTGCTTCATTTCTGAAGCTGTGTGATTTCTTTGCCATAGACTCATAGAAAAATAAATCTTACATATCAGTGTGACTTCACATTCAGTCCTGGTTTACTGAAGGTTAAATGAATATATGTGTCAAAGGCCTTTGAATTCAATAAGGGAGACACAAGTCACTGTTGGATGTTTGTCTGTAAACTGAACATAGGCTCATAATTTATACAGATAGGTACACGATTAAAAGCATGATACAGCCACATAAATCAGTGTGGACAGCAGGTACCTGTTTGAAAACTGTGCAGATACAGAGTGATCCGCAGTGATACACTGATGCTTAAGCAGCAAAATCCGAAACCTCCTTCTTGATAATAAAAGCATAAAAGGTGTTGAAGCATACATGCTGCCACGTGTGTGTAGTGTGTATTTGTGCGTGTGTGTGTCGGCCCGCTTACGAGCCTGTGCGCCTTTAAATGGCGTGTGCTGGTGCTGAGTAGAGGGCGGACCCGAGTGTGAGCCTGTGCGTGTGTGTGTGTGTCTATGTGTGTGTGTGTGCGCCTCTTGCCTGCAGCCGCTGCAAGTCGCACCGAGCCAACAGCGGCTTTTTGTGCGCATGATGCACCGTGCTCGACGCACCTGTGAGGGACCATAAACCCAACCCCGGTACCGCCTGGTGCCCTCCGCCCCTCGCCGCTCCACACCAACACCAGCACCGGACACACTGCTGCTTCTACCCGAAGACTGGAATTTTAAAAAACTGCGGCTCTGTGGAGTTTACGGCTGGATTTTTTTTTGCACTTGGATACTCTTGGTGTTCTGTTTATCTAAGGTCAGTAGCGTCGTGTTTTTTTCTTTTTTTACTCCAACCTGTTCATGTTGCTTGTCCGCGTAGAAAAAAAGCTTCTGAATTTGATTTCATGGGGGCAGAAACAGGGAGAAGGTTCCAGAGGAAATGTGAGGCAGGAAGCCTGGACTCCTGGCGCACAGGTAGCACTGAACTTGCCACTTTTGACAGGACTTTTTCCTGTTCCCCGGAACGGTGAACATATCGAGCCGGAGCAGGTGGGTGTCTCCGGCAAAGGGAAGCGGCGTTTGTGGGATTAAAAAAAAAAAAGGGAATTCTTACGTTTATGGCCTTTTAATTCCCCCGGTGGAACAGAGAGAGAGGTACAGTGACAGGCGGGTGTAGAATTACGCACGGTTTCCCCGCTGCCTGAGCGATGTTTACTATACGAATTATCAATTATAATTTAAATTGTATCATCAAATACAGTCGTGCATCGTTTAAATCCGCGTCTGTATCAAATATTAGGAGCATTAAGCGTAAAAAAAGACTTAAAACGCGACATGCAGGCTCCCCTTCACCTTTTTTTTCGGATGATGAATAATGAATAACGTGAACGCCAGGTGTCCGGTGTCCACGCATTGTTTTCGTCGGCAGCTTCATGTTAAAATGTCAAACAAATGCGCCCTGACACGACGCGCGCACATCACCTCTCCACACACGAGCGCATACACTCTTTAAATATAGATGCATATTTTGATGTAATTCGACCATTGGGTTTGACATGCAGCAGTCCGATACATGACCTTCTGTGTAAACGCAGATGGACAGCGCGCACCAGCAGGCTGCACACTTCCTTCCTCAGCATGCAGACACCATCACATTCCTCCATTATCCTTCTTCCTCTCTGTGTGTGTGTGTGTGTGTGTGTGTCTATGTCTATGCGTTAACAAAAAAATACAGTTGCAGGCTGCTGTTTCACACACATTTACCGCATTGATCAAGCGGATTCTGCTTTTTTCTTTTTTTAAATCCCAAACGATGTGTTTGAAAAATGTGATTCTACACATCATCTTGTTCAAGTTGAAATTCGCTCAAAATATTTAAAATAAATAAGAAACATCAGCAGTAATTATTACCACGCGACATCAGAATGATTCCAACGAGGAAAATAAAAATGACATTTTATTGTAGGGAGGATTCTGATGATTTGGATTATTTCGGTTCCCTGGTGGATCAAATGGCGTCCGCAGGGACATGAGGGAGGTCTGCAGAAATGTGACTGCTCTGCTCCCAATAAACTGCATTTCATGCTGCACGTCAAGCCGGCAAGTTTTTTTTTTTTCCTCCTCTTTGAGCAAGCCACATTTTAGAGAAAAAAAATCCTGAGCCTCGGCCTGCTTTGTAGATAAGACTGAAAAATCCATTTACAGACGAACATTTTAATTTAAACGCGCCCTGCCTTCAGTTTGTCATTCACACTGCGACGAATGCTGGATGTCCCATTTTGTGCAGCACATTTGACAGTTTTAATTGCAAGAAAAATGCCTTGTGCAGTGTGTGTGCAAATAAAAACCACAATCTGCTGCAAAAATAAACAAGAAGTAAAGGCCTCAACCTTCAGTCAGTTTGACGCCTTTTGATTCATATCTCGTCTGGAAAAAAAAAAAATCATCCGCTCGTTTTAACTCAAGAGTCCAAATGGGTGCGAATCCACCAAAGCAGGAGGATGACAATTATACATTTCTTCATCGCTGCAGCACACATTTCGATGTGTCGGATTTTAAGAGTTAATAGGATTAGATGATTCTTGTGCATTTATGCAGAGGGAATTCCTAATCAGGCTTTTTCAAGCAAAAAAAAAAAAAACTGTCTTCAAAATGGGCGTGACCCAGCCAGGGAATGCGTCTCTTTTTCCCTGCAAAGGGCCTAAAGGTGCTTCAACACCTGCAACCACAATGCTTTAGATAAACATTTCAAGCATCTTAGCACCAACAATATGTCGCCTATAGGTTTTATTTGATGTAGGCCTCGTTAAAATGAAAAGGCCTTTTATTTTTACCATCCCTTCCTCCTTTTTAAAGATATCTCAGCTGAATGCTAAAAAAATAAAACAATCAGACTGAATTAAATACGATGTAATACATGCTTTCACTTTTCAAAACTCCCCGGTTATAAAATCAAAATATTCTATCACTTCTAATCCTCTCTTTCTGACTTTATATTTACATGCACGGTGCGTATTTTCTACAAAATAGTATGACCCTCCCTCCCTCTCTCATCTCGATTTAATGTTCCATCTCGTCTTCTTCCTCTCTATATTTAAGGTTGGGGTGTAGAGGGTGGGTTTGGGGGGTAGGATGGAGGCTGTTTTGGGTAATTTGGCTGTCCTGCTTCTTTTTTTTTTTTGTTCTGGTTGGCAGCCGATTAACTGCGCTGACAAATCAGGCGCAAAAAGCCAAGGGCTCTCAAGGTAACACTAATCCCTCTGGGCGGGGAGAGGCTGATATTACGCAGGATTGTAGGGAATGCTCTTTTCCTTTATGTTTTCTTTACTGTGCCGTCTTTACAGGCGTCCTTTGAAAGTACGATGCTGGAAGAAAAATGAAATGATTATTGTTTTTTTTTTGTTGCTGCAATTATTTCAGATGTCTTCAGGCCCCAAACGCACAGGCACGTGATTTCATGCACAGTTAGATTTCGGCAGGTTGACCAATTAATGTATGAAATACAAACACAAAAATGCAAACAAAACCGTTATAGAGAAAACAAAAAGGTATGCGGTGTGAGGTTACATAAACTGGTGCTGCTGCTGCTGGTGAGAGAAAAAGGCGAGGTATTTGTGGGTGTGTTCACTGGTGGAGTGTGTGTAGTGATTCGTGTGTCGATAGAAATGTGTGTGTGTGTGTAGCAGCTTTTGATTGTCGTGTGTAATTTTCTTCTTGTGTCTGCAGTGATTTGTGCACGTGTTTTTCAATTTTCTGGTGTGTATTTTACGAGTAGTGTAAAAGCAGACATTGGTGTGTAGATGTCTGCAGAAGTCTGCTTGATGCAGGCGTCGTGTGTGTGTGTGTATGTGTGTGTAAGAGAGGGTGTGTGTGTGTGTGTGTGTGTGCGCAGGCGTTTGTGGGGTGCTGGGTGCTCTCTAACTGGGTGATGTAATGCCGTGAAGGGTGCTGCAGCAGAACCACAGAGCCCAGAGAAGGCGTGTCCTGCCTGCAGAGTAGCCGATAACAACACGGTGCCCACGCTGTACCCGCCGCCAAACCAGCGCCAAAATAACACGCTCCCACACACACACACACACACACACACACACACACACACACACACACACACACACACACACACACACACACACACACACACACACACACACACTCTTACTCATCTTCCTCTTATACATTTATGCTACCTACGTTTTCCATTAGACTGCTTCAATTTCTGTACGTAGAAAAAAGGGGTTCCTCTGTAGATAAATCCACGTTTGCTTTTTATTTATTTTTTGCTGATTTTTGTTGAAGAAAAAAAAAAAATCAAGTCTTGCACTTAAGCTGTGTCTTAATCTGCTGATAAATGTCTTGTCTTTAAGAATCGATACCACCCTTTTTGATACTGGTGCTTCTTTGTAAAGATGGCTGAATAAAATAAAGGACATGGTTTGACATTCAGAGGTATTTTTTTTTTTATTGTCATAGATTGTTGCTAAACTGGGATTTCTCCCTTTAATATATCTGGTTGTTTGAGGCATGGTCCAGGTGTCAGTGTAGGATGAAGGCCTGCACGATGTAGAGAGTGGATTTTTAAGATTTTCGGATCACAGTGACAGAGAGCGTTTTTTCATGTTACGCCCTCTCTCTGCAGGGTCTTTCACATATGATATGATACAGCAAAAAAAGATGGATATCGATCAGCCTTTAAGATGGTGGCTACATTTTTGCTCTGTGTACCTAGAAAGGTCTTGAGGTGTGTGTGTGTGTGTGTGTGTGTGTGTTTCAAACGTGATCTAGAGGAAGAGGAGTGTCAGGGTGTTTTTTGTGAGATGCATGAGTGGGAGCGGATGAGGTGGAACATCGCCCCCCCCCTCCTCTCTAGCTTTCTCTCTCTCTCTCTCTGTTTCCACCCTCCTTTCCTTCGTCTGTCTCCTCCTCCTCTACCTCTTCCTCTTCCGCCTTCCTCTTCCTCCTTCCTCTGTCAGGTTGCTTGTCCTGGTCAAATGATGTCGGATTGTATACGACTGCAGCGCCGGAGACATGCAGAGGAAAATGGCACCTCAGTGAATGTAATGTGAGATGCAAACTGCAGCACGTTCAGAGGCCTCACACTGAGCGACTTGAGGAGATCAGGAAAAATCTCAGCCAGCTTGTTCTGTAGATTTTATCTGCAAGCCGTGGAGGACATTTTGTCACTGCGCCTGGACACAGTTTCTGCATCTGTCTGTGTGTGTTTGTGTGTAATGTGTGAGTGTGTCTGATGAGGGCACCTGCTGTAAAATGACTGGCAAGTGACATCCATTTAAACACAAGGGGCCTGCCGGTGGGCTGCTTTTATTTGCATTTACAAGCGCACACACACACGTACACACACACACCGCCGCCTCAGTGTGTGTGGTTTTTAATAGGATCCAGAGTGCCGCTGCCTTTTGTCAGTGTGTGTATGTGGACTCGTCCCTGTGGGGTTGGTCAAAGGAGCCTTTCACCGAGAACAATGATCCATGCCGTTTAGCCTTTTAACCCCTGACGCTCCCCACACTGCAACAAAAGACAGACACACGCACACGCACACGCACACGCACAAAGACATGGACACACACATTGTAGAAAACTGAAAATAATGCCAGAACAAGTTTACATTTGTAAACACGGGTACACTGCATGAGGAGATGGTATGGGTGTGTGTGTGTGTGTGTGTGTGTGTGTTTATTATCAGCTGAAAAAAGGTTGTAAATATACGTCATGCAAAATAACTCAACACAAGCCAGAGTGAACAGAACAAACTTTTATTTTAATAGTCCAAAAAAAAAGACAAATAATCAAGCTTGACTT